GATAGTTAAACGAAAGAAAAAAAAGAAGAAAAAAACAAATCTGAAAGTTGAAATTCGAATTTTGGAAGTTTAAACTGGCAACCAAATCAAGTTATAAAACATTAAAAAAAAATAACAGAAACGTGAACATGGATAGGAAAAGAGAGAGAATAAAGAAAAAGTCATACTTTTCTGTTGTAGCCCCACCACTACCGCTTGATTCCTATCACCGCTTGAAAGTTGAAATTCTGAATTGCTTTGCCTTGTCTGTTAGTGCTTCTTTGGTTGGGTTTTATTTGTTTTTTTTCCAATTCCTTTTCAAATCTTCCACGACTTTTCGTTCCCAAATGGTAATAATAATATTATATTAAAATCTTCCTAGATCTTTGAGATTCCAAGGCAAATAAATAGTTGCCTTTTCAGTTTTAGTCTTTTACAGTGATCGAGGATGCTATTAAAAGCTCATCACCATAAAGGCCGGTCAAAATAAAATTCATCAGGTCAAAATAAAAGGCTTACGCCTGTCAAGCCTTAAAGGCGTACGAATAGAGGCTTACGCCTCTCTCATGAAAGGCGTAAGCCTCTTTTTATTTATATAAGGCGTAGGTATCGAGGCCTTTTTTCCCCGCCTCGCCTCAAGGCGCGTCTCAAGGCGCACGCCTCGTTCGCCTTTTGAAACATTGCATACAGCATAGATCCGTGAAGCCCAGCAAGTTCCCATACTTTCCTCTTGGTTTCGGTGACTTTCAGCATTACCCGTTGCTTTTTGACATCGAGACAGCAAGCTTAAGGCCTTCCCAACTCGATTGTGAGAGCCCAAACCTCCTCGACGTATACCCACTTCGAACCCAAGTTGTTTTAGTGTGAGTTAGTAGGTAACGACTCACCTAAACTCGATTTCAATTATATTTAAGTGTTTCTAATCGGTTACTAACCTTGAGATCATACTCCTTTTGTTTTAGGAAGTCTTCGACAAGATCAGGAGCTTTAGGACATTTGTTGTAAGTAGTTCTTACTTGTGGGGATGTTTGTTGTTTGAATATGCATGAATTGTTTGGTGTGTTTTATGTGTTTTACTATATTTAGCAATGCTTGTTAAATATTGATGTTTGATGTTTTCCTATGAATGTTGGATATTAACTACTCTGGATAAATTGTGTTGAGCTCTAATTGTTTAAAATTTGTTTGACTATGCTCTGTTATGACTAAACTCACTGTGGAGCTGTTGTTAGGAATTATTATGTTGGGATTAGCATGTTGGCATTATTGATTTATTGTTGGTGTGTTGGGTTATTTTTGGATTATTGATTGACGCATTAGTGTAATGTCATGTTCATAAAAGCATACTGAGTTGTGAAAATTGATATGTTGTGAAAGCATGACCGACATATTGCTTCATTGTTAGAATGTTGTTTATGTTGTGGATGCATGCTAAATTGTATTAGTTGCAATTATGGGACCAACCAGTTACACTGCAGCTCTTGGGAGTGTCCTAGTCCTGGATGAGATTATTCCAAGGGATAACCAAGTTGACCAAGAGTTAGGCATCTCACATGAAGTTAAAAGGAAGTTCCCATTGTCTTCGTCAAGACAAACTGTTAGGGCCCCTCAACAGCAGACACAGACACGGGATACTCCCTCATTGTGTTCCTTATGTTATAAGCATCATACTAGGCTATGTTGGAAGAAGAAGAGGATCTGCTTTGAATTCAAGAAGGCGGCCCATTATATCAGAGAATGCCTGATGACTGAAGCAAGTGCCTCAAAGGACAACCAATAAGGGAGCACTATCTCATAAAAGACTTAGATGCTGTTGCTACAGATACTTGTTCCGACCCTATTATCGTTTCTTTTGTTCTCTCTTGGTAGTGATATTATTTGGAATTATCATGGCTTTGAGTATCCTTGACTTCGTGATTTATTTATTGATTCTCTATACTTTTGTGTGTTAAGTGAGCCTTTGTTGGAACTGTTGGGTTTGTTTCGTTGTAGGCCCTCACACCGTCAGGCTCGGTATTAGTGGTGAGTTAATTTGTGAAGTGGGGGAAAAGTTCTCTATAAATGCAGTTTGTCAAGAGTCCAACAACTCCTTTAAAGGCAAAAAAGAGGAGCAAGGCAGCTAGTTAGCATAAGAAGGTGAAAACTCTTCGGATTAGACAGAGACCGGTTAAAATCTTGGTTAGAAAAACTAAAACTTTAAGGAGGCAAGAATTTTTCCTTGGTTAATCAATTACAAGGAAGAAACTAAGCAATTTAAGAAGATTTCGGACAAACACCAAGTATCTGTCTTGTCAACTTTCAAGGACGAAAGTTCTTAAGGTGGGTTTCCTGCAACACCCACATATTTACCATTCTTTAGATACAAGGTACATAAAGCAACATAACATGGAAGAACTCAATGCCGAGCTAAAGAATATTAGAGACGAAATCCACGAATGGGTCAGGGAAGAATTGAATATTAGAAAATAAGAGACGAGATTGAAGAACAGGTCATGGAGGTGAAGAATGCAGAGCTAAAGAAGATGAGACAAGCATTGATAAGATTTAGGGGCAAGTCACGAAAATTTTCAATATCTTAAAGAATATTGTTATAGTTTGGGATATTTCTCAACCTAACAATTTAGTCGAACCTCATAATAATTCACCACCTAGAGTGGACCCACCTCTTTGTCAACAATAGAGAGCTTCTCCCAGCATAATTCGTCACATGAAGCTCAGCTTTCCAAGAAAGGTCAATAAGCTCGTACAAAGTGTCAGGTTGAATTCACATTCCAAGATGGACAAACATCAAAGGCCAATTACTCAGATAATTTAAAAGTTAAAGAAAAAGAAAATGTTACCAATAGAAATGCTGAAGAAGTTGGGGAAATTTCCTTTATAAACCAACACAAGCATGATAGAAGTATGACCCATTCCGATAGGGAATAGAAAAGGGAACTACAGGGCAAGAAAGTGCACGGAGATGGAGAGAGGCAAACAAACAACTGACAGTGCCTTTCATTGATAAAGAGCCACAAAATAAAAGCTCCATTAAAAGGAATAATAAAGTCCAGGCAGTAATCTTGAAGCGCAAGTGGAGATACCAACAAGGATCTGCGGTATACAATTCGTCTACAATACCCATAAACTCATCGGCTCTGTAGAATGACCCACATCTAACATTGCCAGCATTACCTGACAATCATAATAGTCGGAGGCAACTAAAGCAAGAGAGTTTTCATCCAATCCCAATATCCTATACCGAGCTATTATCACAATTATTTTAAAGTCATCTACTAGCTCTGGTACCTATAGAACCATTGCAGCCACCTTATCTAAAGTGGTACGACCAGCAAGTTCGTTGTGGTTACCATGCAGGAGATGTACGTCATTAAAAAGAGAACTTTACTTCACTAAAGCATAAAGTACAAGTTCTAATGAAAGCAGGGTGGCTCAGGTTTTCAAAGAAAGATGACCCACACATGAAGCACTAGAATCATGAGTGCGCGAGACTATGAAAATCAATGTTGGTCTATTGCTTTGCATTATCAATAAAGTCTATTTCTTATATGAAGTCATCTTTGAGATCGCTTGCTAGTTGTAGAAACCGTATTTGGTCCGGCTTATTTTTAATTTTAATTTTAATTTATATTATTGTATTTTACTTTATTGTGTTTTATTTTAAGAATAAGATAGGTTTACTTTATTATTAGTTTTAATATAAAGTTTAAATTAACTAAAATTAAAATATTAGATTTATTTAAATGTTTAAGAAAATAAAAAATGGTTTGTTTAGATTTTGTTTTATTAATTAAAAAAATAGATAAATAAAATTAATTTGTTTTAAAAAGATTTTGTTTTAATTAAATAAAGATTTTATTTTAACAAAACCTTTGATTTTTAACCGTTTTTTTCCTCTTTGATTTTTTCCTCGTCAAAGGCACTTAACGTGGCATCTTCTCCCTTCCCTTCCCTTCTTCTCTTCCCTATTTTCCTCTATTCTCTTGCCTCTTTTTCTTTTTTACCATTATCTTTAGATGTATTTAAAGAGGGTTGCAGTTGAGAGGAGGGAAAAGACAGAAACACACAGTGGAGAAAGTTAGAAACTCATCACCGTATCTTCTTCTCTCCATCTCTCTTATCCCACCATCACCACTTTTCTCCTTCATACCCACGACCTCCGACGAAGCAAGGGAACGACACGAACGACAGCAGCAACAACCTTCTTCACAACTTCTTCCAAGCCTGCTGGCACTCTAACGATCTCCTTCCGGTAGTGCGTTTTACGTAAGTATAAAATACGTTGGAATTTTTTTTTAAATAAGGGAAAATTGGCTTTGAAAATCATGCTTTTAATTTGAAACAGATTCTTTTGTTTCTATCAAAAGATTTTTTTTTAGAAAAAAAGTTTTTTTTTTTTTACTTTTTTTTAAAAGAAAATGCTTTTAGTAAGAAACTTTTTTTTAAGATAAACAAAATTTTCTAAATTAATTTTAAATGAGTTTTTGAAAATAAAATAAAGATTTTGATATTTTAAAATAAAAGGTTTTCTTTTTCTAATAAAGAAGAGTTTTTTAAATGAAATAAATATAAACTTAATTTTATTTTAATAAACTATTTTACTTTAAAATTTTGGTTAAAATACATTGAAAAAAAAAAGGAGTTTTATAAAATAAATCTTCTTTAAAAAAATTTGGATTATTTTAAATTTGGATTCAAAGTTTAAGAGATAAAAACGAATATTGTGCTGCAAGATTTTAAAAAAAAAAGAGGAGATAAAAACAGAGTATTTTAGAATAAAATCTCATTTTTTTTTAAAAAAATTCGTTTTAATGGTATGGTGGTTATGGTTTTCAAAAAAATCTTAACAGAAAATCAGTTTTAGCAAATAAGTTTTGTTAAAAGTAAATTTGACTTTAGTTTTAAATAAAGGTTTTTTTTCTTTTAAATAATCTTGTTAATTTCGAAATAAATAAAAAATGTTATTTATTTTTGTTGAAATTGAACAAATTCGTAGGTTTTTTTTTTAGTTAAAAAAAATAAATTAAAACCTTTGTTTTTGTAAAAGAATACAATGTTTACATATTAGGACGTTAGAATAGTGGTAAAGGTTTGAGTTTTTTTAATGTACATGACCAAGTACGAGTCTTTGCATGCCTCATTTTATCATTGTTTTTACTGAATAATTATTTTAAATAAAACATTTTATTTAGAGTTTTTTTTTTAAACAAAATTTAAAAGTATAAAATATGTATTTTAAAAAAGAGCATAGCTTATATTTCAAAGTGGTGGCACACTGGTGTGATGTTTTAGTGTCAACACTCATGTCGCAAGTTCAAGTCTTAATCTTTCATAAGATTAGAATTATTTTTTTATTTATTATTATTATTTTTTTTCTAAATAATTATTTCAAAAACTCCAATGACGGGAATTGGAACCTTCCATTATTCTCGAGGTGTCAAAATTTTTCTAATGGCTTTCGTGCCACTCATATCTATTAATTCATATCTTATAATAAAATGTGAATTAATATAATACGAGACATTTAAAATAAAAAAAGTATATGTTTTTTGGACCAAATAACATAATAGGATAATTTTTTACAAAATGTGGTACCGTTTTCGAACGGGTGTTGTAGGGTGCTAACACCTTCCCTACACTCAGTCGACTCCCGAACCAACAATCTGTTTTCGCAGACCTTGTCTTTATTTTTAGGTGACCAATCACACCTCGTAGATGATTGGTGGCGACTCCAAACCCTTATCTCGAAAGAGACCCTTAAGGGGATGACGCCGGCCGCTCCGCGTCGCGATAACGTTGCGACAGCTTGGCGACTCCACTAGAGACCTTTGAGAGTCAAGCCATTTAGTTTGTCATTTATTAACCTATTGTAATATGTTTTTGGGTCCATTTTTTTGTTTGTTTTTTTTCTTCATTTAATTGTATTATTATTTTATTTTGCATCACCATGCGTCTCACACACATTCACAAGCCTCCTACCCGGGCTTTACCTTTTAGGATTAGATCGGAGACTGAGTAGTGTAACCTTCGTGGAATTTCGGTTCCCGTGTAGGTGCATGAAATTCTCCACTCAAGTCGACCATACTGCCAAAGCATATGAAAGATTTGTGGGCCATTATCCTATAGGATGCATTAGTACATAACTTCACACCATATTCATATTGCATTTTATGTGGGTTGTTCCGTCTTCATGGCATATTGTTTTTTAATAAAAAATTAGGGTTGATTTGGACTTTTAACCATTAGGTTTTAAATGAACCACTTAAAAAAAAAAAGAATAGAAAATGATTTACCTTATTTCTTCCTAACTACTTGTTTAAGTTTTGGATAGAAGTACTGCCTTTCAAAGGGGTTATAAATGTCCCTGTTGTAGGCACATAAACACTTTCAAACTTATTCACTCACTTAGGAGTTCGGCTTTATAACCCTAGAGTTTAATTTTATGTACATATTTATGTTTCTCTCTCTTAGGGTGAATTAGAGTCTACCATTACATTTGCATGCATTTGGAATGTATTAATGATTGTATGAAGTATTTATCATATTCTTGGGGCAGTTTGTAGCATATTTAGATAATTTTTTTTCTCCTCCAAAGAAAATAAAATAAAAAAACTTATCCTGCTCGTGCATCATTCTACATGTCCATATCATAAATTAAAAAAAATATATCTATCTTTTTTATGCATCATTTTACATTTTTATATCATAAATTAAAATTTATCGTTGTAATGCATCATTTCATATGTCTAAATATATATATTAAAAAAAAAGAAGCAATATTTTAACAGGCATTGTTTCGCATAATTCCCGATCTAACATTTGCATCCCATCGTCTCATGCATATCAATTTCTATCTTTAAAAATCAAAATCTATGCATTCTCCATTACATCATAATTAACACGAACTGTTAGAAAAATAGCTCAAGAACCACATATTTACTATTCTTTATAT